AGGAATGCCATTATGCATTACTTATGGAACAGGCCCAAACCATTCTGCAAAGAAAATCAATGCCACGAGACACACACACATTTAATTAGTGTCCTTTCAGCGTGATCCAGTATCTCCATCGCTTGTGAAATGCGAGTTAATTCCACAGCAGGAGGAAGGCCCTTCACTTGAACCTCACGGAGAGAAAGCTTGTTAACTTTCTGTATCTCAGCTTGTTGACACACTTTGCACCAGGCAGTGATAAGCCTTTGTATTATATTATTTTAGTAACAAAGGCAATAATTCCACTGATTTTCATGAAGCCCAAGCCCCTGAAGGAAACGTACCCATGGTGACAGTCTTGTGCCCTGCAAAGGGCCTTTCCACCCGCCAACTCATACCTGCCTTCTGCTGTAATTAATATCAACCAAAATAACAGGGGAAGGGCAAGCTACTCACTGATGATTAGCTCTGGTTTAGCAGCACAAGATAAGGGCTCAATTGAACTTTTACTAGGGAAACCCATGCAGCTCCAATGCCCAACCAAGCCCTGTTTTTCCAAGTCGCTGCTGCTTTGCAGGCGATTTGCATAACTGGGCCTCCGGAGAATTCCGCACACACGCGTGTTCCGTCTTGTCCGTGCCAGAGCAGCTCTCCAGCTGCTGGGAACAGAAAGTTCTGCTTGCAGGAAAGAATAAGCCGCCTTCATGGACCAAGGGGAACCCGAAGTGCGTCTGACCCCTCGTGCTAGCCAGGCCGCGCGCCGCGTCCCTGCTCCGTGCAGGGGCTCATGGAGGCCCCACGAAGCGGCTGTGCTTCCCGGTGGCTTTCCAGGACAGCCGCGCCGCTGGCAGGGCCACTAAATACAACGGAGAAGGGCCCTGAGACGGACCCCGACTGCTTGTGACGCCGCGGCGGTTCCGCCGTGTGCCGGCTCCGCACCGGGCCGTGTTCCGGAGGGAAACCAGACCGCGAACCGCCCGCTAAGCCCGCACGGGCCTGCCGGGATAACAGGGAAGCCCGGCCAGGAGCCAACGCGGGAGCCCCGATGCCGCCCGCTCCTCCGGGGACGCTGCCTTGGTGGCCCCCGCGCAGCAGCAGGCGCCGCGGTTCCAACCCCGTGGGGTTCGGACACCTCCACGGCTGTTCGGGATGTGTCACAGCGTCTCCCTTATCCCGGGACACTTCTGCGGGACCCTTTGTTGGCCGTTTGTGCAACAACCCCGTCGAGGCTGTTTGCCAGGCGCCGCCTTTGCAGCCTGCCCTTGCGCAGCGCTAGGAGAGGAGCCGGGTTATTCCACGGGTTCTGGGTCAGCCTCGCAGCCAGCAGGACCCTCCTGCAGCAGCGCTGGTGACACGGCCGCGTCACCCTCCAGCGCCGGGCGGCTCCAGAGCAGAGCACGGGGGGCACACACGGGGGCTCCTCCTTCCCAGCCCAAATCCCAGTCCCTTCCAACACCACCGGCTCCTGGACCCCTGTCCCTCCAGGTGCCCCTGCTCCTTCTCCCTTCCCCTTTCTCTTCGGGATCTCCCCAGGCCCGTTCATCCCGCTGCAAACGGCCCGGTCCTGCCGGGCGGATCCGCCTGGCTGCTGCTGCTGCGCTTTGGCAGCCGCCGAGCGG